CTGCCTGTTGTAGAAACACAAGTGTAGAGGACGACGTTTCGAAAGCCTTCCGCCTGAAAACGAAAGGCGGAAGACTTTTGAAACATCGTTCTCTACACTTGTGTTTCTACAACAGGCAGTTGCCGTCCATTCAACTAAGTTTCATCAAATCTACAGTTGTTTATGTTTGAGTATAACTTATTGAATTTGAAGATATCTAACAATTTTTAATGTCAGACATGTCATTTTCATCTTATTTCGTCTTATTAAATATATTGAGCTCTAAACTACATCAAACATGGTAAGTAATCACTTTCCATAATCGATTTGAAATGGTCTCAATTTTTATTCTGTTCGGTAAGGAAAGACAAAATAAAAGTCACAAACAGCGTGCCTAGTTAGAGGGTGACTGGTGAGATGCCAACTAAGAATCTGCAATAGCAGCAGTTAGCATCAATGTGAACTTTCTGAGAACGTAAGCAATGAAGTATGACAGCATTCAAATGTTTTCTTCGCATGTTATACTTAAAGTCTGTAGAACAATCCCTTAAACTTTCTGGTCACTTCTAATTTGCGTTTTTATTAGTCAATCGATAAAAAATTCAGACTTAGTCGTAAATTTGATCGGAAACTGAAGTTATTAATCATAAGATGAAGCTTATTGTTATAGAACTGTTTATATTATAAACTAAGTCGAGTTGCATTGAAGTGTTCGAAATTTGTGAATAAGAAAATATAATTAATCGGAATTTGTATGTAAAATGTGTTGTTTGCAGATAGGATTTAAGATAGATGAAACGTACCCCATCAGGAAATCTATTCACAACATAAGTTGTAGAACATATCTTTTTTAATATGATAATAAATTAAAAGTTTTAGTTGTGTTTGGAAGATTATCTTCAATACCAATTAGTGGCGTTGTACTTTCTAGCTTTCTTTGGTTACCAAACCTAGCTTTTTATTGTACATAGCTGATTATCTAAAAATTGAAAAATAATTATGAACCAGTTTGTTTCTTATATATTTTTTATAATACAGACATTGAAAGTCTGGCAACTTATACTATTTCATAAATATGCCAAACTAAAAAAAACGCTATTCATCGCGTAGAAATGATTATGAAAAATCAACGTTCTTTGTTGTAAAAATGGATTTTATCATTACGCTCTTATGTTTAGTTTGGTATTGTGTTTTAAGTTTACCAAGTATTTTTTTAATTTCAGAAAAGTAATTTTAAACTGTGCACATAAAACAAAGATGCCAATTTTAACTTTTGTTCGGTAAACTGTGTAATTCCAAAATATAATTTATGTCAAAATTGCCTAAAAAGTTGGGAGTTCTAGTAATCATCGGAAGGCCTCTTGGGCAATGACTTGTGTGGAAAAAAAAGATAGATCTGAATAATGTTTTTACGCAACTCTGATATGAAATCCAAAAGGAACAAATTAAGAAGAATGTGGAGAAAACATGTGCAATTTACGTCATTTTTTTATCCTAACTATTAAGCCTTTTGGTTTCTAATTCTTGGCAAGCTATCGGAGTTTACACCGTAACTTTTAAATTATTATACCGCACAAAAATAGAGTTTCGAAACGTTTGTTTGTAATTTTTAGCATTTTTTTACCCTCCATTTTTAATAGTCGCATTTATTTCTTCAGTCTCGCCACTCCTGAGTTATTCAATTGACTATCCATGGATCAGTAAAATTTACTAAAATATGAATACTTATGCTGGCTGAGGAAGGGGTGCAACGCTCTGTTGACTCGCTTATTCCCTTATTGGGACTGAATAAAATGCGAAAAAAAAGAAAAGTTCCTTTCTTATCATTCAACCAATCTGAAGAGTTCTGGTATTGAATGAAACGCTTCACGGGCAGTGAGTTGTGAGTAACAAAATATAGATCAAAAATGCTAGTTTGTGTATACACTTATGATATGTAATCAGAAATGGACAAATTAACAGAAATGTAGAAAAAAAAACGTGCAGTTTACGTCACGTTTATCACAGATTTCAAGCTTATTTGAATTAGTGGTAATTTTTGTTTGTTCAAACCAACAATTTATAATACCTTTAGAGAAACTTGAAGAAACTGACTTATGTTTTATTTTTCAACTTTTTAGCTAATACTTTATTTCAGCATTACGTGTAAAGTCTAGGAACAGTGTAGTACAAACAACCGCGATGAATTGTACTTTTATCACATTACGTGTAAAATCTAGAAACAGTGTAGTACAAACAACTGCGATGATGGTACTTTTATCACATTGCGTGTCAAGTCTAGGAACAGTATAGTATAAACAACACGTGTCAAGTCTAGGAACAGTATAGTACAAACAACTACGATGACAGTACTTTTATCACATTGCGTGTCAAGTCTAGGAACAGTGTAGTACAAACAACCGCGATGACAGTACTTTTATCACATTACGTGTCAAGTCTAGGAACAGTATAGTACAAACAACTACGATGACAGTACTTTTATCACATTGCGTGTCAAGTCTAGGAACAGTGTAGTACAAACAACTACGATGACAGTACTTTTATCACATTACGTGTAAAATCTAGGAACAGTATAGTACAAACAACTGCGATGACAGTACTTTTATAATTCCTTTTTAGGCCCATTCTGTTACTATATTAATAATAAAAAGCAAAAACGACAATTTTTGGCACAATGAAAGATAAATTATTTCAACCGACTAATCTGTGTAACATCAGGGCTAGTAATAGTTTTATCTTTCATTGTGCCGAAATCCGTCGTTTTCGTTTCTCACTCTTAACCCTACTTTTATATTGGTTTATATTTCTGCAGGTTTGGGTGGTACTCTTTGTGACTTTTTTCTTTGGCGCTTGTTTTCTACATGTACTGCTACGAGCAATAAGCAAGCTGATATCCGGGGAGGTGAAAACAGATCTTCAAAGTGCAGTTTGGTGTTTAGGATCATGTCTAGTTTTTCAGGGTAAGTAAAATTATTTACATACAGTTCCAAGCATCTAACTATTACTTTTTATGATTTATCTCATGAAGGCAAAAGATTAAACGATCTGAAAATTTGATGGACTTGGATCAATGACGAACTGTATCTTTTGCTGTGATATAGTAACAGTCTTAACTCGGAAAATATTATGTGCTTTATTCAGTGTGTTTTGCACTAGCGCGAAACATATGGTAACAGTGTCAATTTACAAAGTAGAAGCCACTTACAGTATTTTGAATATTTAAATGATGTATTGTTAGATAATTTTAAGTTATTGAAAATGTGTAGAAATAATATACTTATAAGACGTTTTCTAAACTTTTATGTGTCACATTATTTCTAGATTGTTTTTGAAATTACTTTCCTTGCTCTCTGTGACACGATTTTTGTTTGTTTTTCTGCCCGAGTGGATTGCTAATATTATTAAACAGTTTCTTTGCTTTGATTCAAATTAGTAGATATATATTTTTAAATATGTTCTATACAAATTTAATTATTTGATACATGTTTGCTTTCGTAAACTAGTTTTCTAATGTGCAAATTGGTTTACTATAACCTTAAAATTATGTTTTCTCTGTGGTATAGAAGTGAGCTTCAGGCGGGCTTATAATGATATAAATTTGGACTTCTATCCTGTCGCGGGCATATAGCACATTTCCACTCTGCGCCTGAGCTAAACAGTTACTCTAAAAATAACACTTTTTTTTGTATTCTGAGCACTCAGTCTCTGCTAATCCATTGCTTATTTAGTTTTAAAAATGAAAAAAATAGAATAAGAGACACACATAAAGAACAATGTTATCACACTTTTTATTTAATTTCTGTTTTCGACACGCTTGAAAGTGGACGAGCCTTACTCTAGAAATCAAATAGTTTAATAAAAAACAAAATTTCTTGCCATTACATACCCCTTTATTAATTCCGTTACTATAATTTTGTTCCCCAGTGCCTCAGCGGTATGTCTACGCTAGATTCCGGGTTTCGATACTCGTGGTGGACAGAGTACAGATAGCCCATTGTGTAGCTTTGTGCTTAATTACAAACAATACTATAATTTTAGCTTTTGTTTTTATCAATTCCGTTACTATGATTTTAGATTTTGTTTTTATTGATTCTGTTACTAAAATTTTAGGCTTTGTTTATGTTGTTGTTTTTTTCTCAAAGCTTTAAGTGAAGTGAATGCTTAAAGCAAGGAAAAACTTTCTTACAAATGCGTAATGATTGTCTGTATATAATTGGTTTTATAGCGTGTTTCCGTTTGCGTCTTATAATCACTTTGCATCTGTTCATTTGGAAATAGTTTATTTTCTCGCTGTGTTCAACATCCTTCTGTGCGAGTAAGTTTAGCGATAACAGTGTAAGGAACTACTTCGTAAAAGAAAAAAATTAATTTGAAAAACGAGATTTATTGTTGCCTTGCTGACATTTCCCAATCAGCATCCTATTAAAAAGAAAGCCTGTTAAGATAGGTTAGCATTAATTTTGTCTTAAAAGATTATTTTTGTGTATTTATAGAATTTTTCCTCTCTCAGAAAAAACTAGAGGATTAAATCACAATATAAGTTATAAACAATTGCCTGGAAAATTTAATGGCAGAGACGAAGAACACGTTATCACGTACGCTTCTTTAATACTCCTGATGTCTTACTAATTAATAATGTTCACCATGGTTTCGTTTGATCTTGGTAATTGTCATTATCATATTGTTGTTTCAATTTGTAAGGCGATTATCAATATTTAACGTGGTAATGCTGATCATTAGGTGTTATATAATGATGATGGTGTGTAAGTAATGCGATAAAGGTAACTGTCATTTGTTAAATAACGGTAATAGCAGTTTTCATGTTTTTATCTGACAGGACAGTGATAATCACCTTAATCTATTATAAGTTAAATAAACCATGATCATTTGGACTCTTCAACAAAAGCTTTATTAATAATCATTAGGATAATTTAGTGTTAACGATACAGGAGAATCCTCAACATTTTTGGGTGTGCTGAAAAGAAAAACGTGTTTAACTTATTGTTTTAGCAACAGAATAATTTTTTTTCTATTTTAACGTGATATTCTAATATCCAACGACCAATGAAGGTGGTGAAATAGTATAATTATATAGTCTAAAAACGTCTCACAAAAATCTTGTTTAGTTTAAAGGAGTGGTTTTGTTTTACAGGAGGGCAATCTATGAAATCGAACGGACAAAGTGTCCGTTTATTTATTGGTATTTGGTGGTTAATGGCAATAGTGCTTGGAGCCAGTTACAGTGGTACCATTACTTCCTACATGGCTATTCCTGGCACTAAAACGACCATAGACACAACGAGTAAACTACTTGTGGCAATCGATAACGACGGTTTCAGCTGCGGTGCAGCTGTTGGTACCGTTCAACATCTTCGAATGCAGGTAGGACATGGAGTTTAAAAGCGTTCGAACTATTTATGAAACTCGTTAGTTTAGGTAACGATTTATAAGTAGTTTCAGTGACGTTACATCATAATATCACGGTATAGCATAGGGTCAGTAAAGAATGATTTATAAAAAAATTATTGTCAGATTTATTGTGACGTAATGTCACTCAAACTACGTTTCACACTTCACAAGCGTAAGCCGTTATATCCCATAATAATTGGTATAACATGCTATCATTATTATTATTACTTCACACATGATACCATCTTAAGAACAACCTACGTTATTTAGGGGCGGCTATATAGAATAAACGAACTTAATGATATCGTGTTGCGTTGTTATGTTGAATAGCAGTTGAAAACTATATACTTCAGGTACAATAGATAAATAAATGCTCATAGAAATCTGTTGGAAGAGTTTCTTTCGTTCTTGTAGTTATAAAACTATTTATATCTGAACGAGAACAGCTGTTTGAAATATCTTAAGACCAAAGCTCTTGTCTTTGTTTCGTGATTTTACTGAAAACAAGACTGAACAAACTAATGAAAGTAAAACAAATATAAAAATGAAATGATGTAATTACTATTAAATATTTGTTCTGTTTACAATTAGACCTTTTGTTTTTATCAGATATCTCATACAATCTTATTATATACTGATTTCTAATACATAAAAGCACCCGTTTATCCTCTGTACTGTAACATTATATACATTCAAAGATTCAGTGACAACGTAAATTCATACTGTGTTTTGGGCTTTGTTTATGTTTGTGATTTGCGTGTCGGTCTGCGGACTTTAAGGTCCAAGATAGAAGTTCGCAATATGCTGCTGAAAATGCTCCTCTCTTTCTGCTGTGTGTGCATTATAAAAAGTGATAGATAATCTCGTTATTCGATCAAGACTAGTCATGGAGGCGGCAGTTGTTGCTGACTAGTTACCTTCCTTATGGTCACCAGTTGTAAATTATGGATGGCTCTAACATGGTCATTTAGCCTATGTGTTGCATAAGGTGTTGTTCATATTGAAAATATCAATGTTATTACACAGTATGTTAAAAAAACTGATGTCCATACTGTGTGCCTGAGGGCTCATGATTCACGTCCCATTGCTGCAAAAATATAATCCTTATTAAACATTCAGGATGGTCTATAAGAGTGATGCTGTATCCCACTATTCGATCAAACGAGAGTAATTCAAGAGTTGGCTGTGGGTTCTGTTTATTAGCTATCTTCCTTCTAATTTATCAGTTTAAAATTACGGTAGGTTATACGCAAGCAGAATTTTGTGTAGCTTTGCACACAAAAATCTCTAAAACATATTTTTGTCGCCGTATACCAAATTATGTAAAACACAAGTTAATCTATACACAAGATATTCATTATTATATAGATCTAATCCTACCGCAAACGTTTATTTTGTAACTGAACATGAATGGACATGATGGCTATGTTCATTTTACAATGAACTCCGCATTTGGTTTTGGTGTTGTTTACAACACAAAACACAATACTGTTTTCGTATTTCATGTTAATTACATATCAAAATATCATTATCATGATTAATGATATTTTAATATATTTACAATAAACTTTTAACTTCTGCATGCTATAATCCTTCAGATAGTGAAATAAAAACCACAAGTCTGAAAAAGATTGTTTCCAAATCACGAAAACAGCTGTGTTTCTTTGTGTGTTAGCGCAAAGCTTCAGAATGGTGTATCTGTACTGTACCACCAGCGGTTATCGATGCCAAAATTTTCTTAATGTTATAAAGCACTTAAGTCTGCCACTGAGCCATCGGGGAGCGATGGAGAAAAAATTTATATAATTGTTACAAAACAAAGCTTAAAAAATTATCCTTAGAAAATCCACATTAACATCGAGCGCGAACAGTGTAGTATAAAACGGTGTCATTCGAAAGTATATTTTACCTAAATGTATACGTAATGCTTTCGATATTGGTGTATAGAATGTGGTTCAGAATTCCACTTTGAATGCTGTTAGTGTTTTGTAACACTAAAACTTTGTTGACCACCACCCACCTAATGATTACTCTACTCTAGCCAATATTCTTCAAGATTTCTTGAGTGATTGAAACTCAACAGGCACTAATAACGAACTCTGACAGAATTCGTAGAAATTATATTGCTGGTTGATCAAATCTTTTAGATGAAACAAAGCTCCGTCGCTGAAGAAGAAGATGTCATGTGGAAACAATCACTACTTTACTCCTACTGCTTGATCAATCAGTCACAGAATTTCGTTTGCGTATCAAGGTCATCCTTGTGTATCCAATTTAGGATTTTTGATTTGCAGGAGTGCCACTTCACTTTCTTTGATACCCAATAGACACTCTAGTGTAAGGCACTTTCCACAACCTCTTTAAGCAAAAGATATGTTTGAGATAATGTCTATTGCTTTGTCTGTTACAGCTGCAGTCTTTGGTCTTCCGGATCGCAGCGGATCGGCAACTCCTCTCGCTGACTTAAATCAAGCAAACAACCTTAATTAATCCAATTAACTAATTTCAACATTAATCACCATGGTAATTAATGTTGACATTATTTTCCACCTGCTGCCAGGTGACCCCTTAACGCCCACACACACATACAATAGTAAAGTTCATCCTTGTCCAATGTCGTAGAGAAGCTAACTATACAGCATCTCTTTACACTGGGCCCGGCATGGCCAGGTGGTTAAGGCGCTCGACTCATAATCTGGGGGCCGCGAGTTCGGATCCCCGTTACACCAAACATGCTCGCCCTTTCAGCCGTGGGGGCGTTACATTTTAATGTTATCACTACTTAACAAAAGAATTAGATGTACAGTTCTTTTCTTTGATTATTACTGCTTAAGGTGTTGCTCTTTTCTACCGCTTAAAGTGTTGCTATTTTTCAAGAAAAGTTCTGTTGTAAAGATGGCAAAAACCATCAAAATAAACAGTATGTTAATTACTAAGACTTTGTAGGCTTAATGCAAAAGTAGAGGAACAATTCCACTTAACTGAATCAAACTAATATCTGATAGTAATCATAAACCTTTACGTTGAAATAATAGGAAACTGAGGATTCCAATATTGCATTTATTTGAAAAGTCATATTATGAGACAGGTAAAGTTATTGAGGCATTTGTAATGTGAGTCTCTTGTAATTTATCTTCACAAAACTACATATTTTGCTATTTTTACAAAACTCCTTTAGTAACAGAAAGTTGTATTGGAATAATAGAACTGTCCCTCCAAAAAATAACTAGAATCGTTTCCCTTTTCTGACTCTGAATGTATGTTTAAAGAAAGTATAATATAAAAATCATTATTCATTACTACATATTTCTCTTAGTAGTTGTTAACCTAAGCCTTTTTCCTAAAAATGGTGTTGAGCAGGGTTGTACAGGACACTAGTGAAATCGTAAAACATCTTTAGGATTTGAAACATTTTACTACTATGAATTTATTGTAACTTTGTATGGATCGTTTGGGTTTGCTAAGTCTGACCACCCTTTCTATAAGTTATATATGGAATGACTAGACTCCAGAACTTTTATCACATATATCGACATGCCAAGTTGCAATTTTTTATTCCCACCTTCACACCTTCCAAAAGTGTCAGAATACTAGCATGATAAAACTTGTTTCATCTTGTAATTTCGTTTTGCCTGTGGTTCCACTCGCATTCATACTTCATCCTTTTACATATTCTGACATGCCCACTGCACATTATTCGTACATCTTTATTTTTAATAGTGCATCAACTGTACATTCTTTTTGCCATCTTCATCATAACTCCATGGTATTGTTACGTCTCCGTTCGTTCGTTAAATAATTTTCCGTAAATTCGTTCCAACGAAACTTTAGCGACACAAGTCCTTTCTTAAATAAAACTGGTTTATTCTTTCCGAATACAACTTTACCGATACACTTCATTTCAACAGTTGCTCTATAACAACCGCTAGAACGTCTCACGTGCTCGTGCTCGACAATACTCAGTTCAATTACACACTCTCTGACTGCAGTTCAATTACTCACTGTTCCGTCACGTTGTGACCATTTTATATATACCAGACTACCCCTAATCTAGTAGTCTCCCGACAATTCACGAAGGAACAGGATATTTCTAGAAAGAGGTGGCGTGATACTAGTCACGTGACCTCGCTGACGCAACAGTATTTAGTAAACTTTCTAATTATATTCCTTACTACATCGATTGGTCTACAACTTTGTTTTACCTTCATTCTACTAAACATCATGAAAATTGTTAGTTCTTTTTTCATTTTGATCACTATTATTGGTATGCTAACTGCACATGTCAGCTACTCTTTAATATTTCATCTTCGTAACACTTATGTCCAAATCAGTGTTATTTTTTCATACTCGTCATGTTTATTGCAAAGCCACTTGCACTTTTTTTTCCCAGTCTAATCTACAATTGCATGAAAATAAATCTGTATTTACTTTGATTCATTATATCACTTAAAACGTGTTTAGATCTTTTTGTTGTTGTTGTTGTTTTCCTCCAAAAACGATGCCAAACATAGTTTGCTATATTTAAAAATATCATAGCAAATTTGGATGTAACAAATACGTAAAGGGTGAATTACTAACTGATTAGAGCAAATATAAACATGATGGATTTCAGCAACTGAAAGTTTCGTGTTAATATTCAATACTGTTTCAAAGTTGAAAGCCTTGGAATAGTTGTTATTACACTTTATATTAATGAACCAATAAATGACAGCAATTTAACCAAAACCCTCGAATCCAATTTCAAGAGAGCACTGAAATGTATCTAGTTAAGCATCAACTGATAAAACTGGAACTTAGGCTGCACTTAAAAGATTTTATAGAAAGTAAAAACAAAAACTACAGTGAGAACTTTTAAGGTGGGGTGGGTGAAGCTAACATTACAACACCCATGTCTATATATAAATACTACTCCAAAAGGATATCAAATTTAACGCAAGTACACCATTTACATTTTTAATTCGATTTGTCGTTTCTCGAGGTATCAGAGTACTAGCACGATAGGTTTATTTAGCCTTTCAAATTCTCTCGGTAAAATACTCCAAACAGAATAATCTGCATATTTTTCATTACGCTACTGCTCTGACGTTAAATGTCATGGTGAAAATTTTGTTTGGCCTAATTTTGTTTCATTTGGAGACATAATTGCGATTTCTACAACATGACTAAATAAAAGTACAATTTGAATTAACGAGATAACTGATCGTTTTTATTATATTTGTACAATGTAGCCAGAAATATCGATACCCACCAATCGGGATTCAATAGAAATGAAGGTAACATCGTTGTGGTATATTTTATTTATGTATTATTATTTTAATTTAAGTGGAGGATAAAAACAATTTTCGTTCCTTGGTGAGTTAATAGTAAGATTGCGAACTTCAGGTGCTAAAATCTGGGACTTGATTTTCCACGATGGGCTAAGCGCATATAACCCATTAGGTAGGCTAGTATTAAAAACACAACAACAAAAGCAACTTTCATGCTAACTAAACTGGGTCGAGTGTGGCCTGATTTAGCGTGCCATGACTTTGAATTCTCAGATTCATCATTCGCAGTATGTTGTTGTAAAAACGTGTTCCGCCCTTTTTTTGCCATGTGTGCTCTATAAGTGTGATGGTGAAATCCCACTTTTAGACCAGACAAGATTTGTTTGTTTATTGTCGAATTTTGCGTAAACCTACACGAGGGGTATGTGAGCTAGCTCTCCTTAATTTTGAAGTGGTAGACTAGAGAGAAGACAGCTAGTCAACAGTAACTAACTCCAACTCTTAACCAATTATTGTCAGTGGGTTCTTGACCGTCACTCTTACAACGCACCTACGGCTACAGAGTGCGGAATGCGATTTTTCTTTTCTTTTCTTTTTTTTTGCTAACGAGATTCGAACCACTGGACCTTTACCTCCACAGACCGTCGCGCTAACTATTTGTCCCCAATCAGGTGAAAATATTCCACCAATTGGCGGAATGTGTCCATTAGCTGCCTTCCCTCTAGTCTATCAGTTAAAAAAAAAATAGGGAAAGCTAACTCAGATAGCCTTTGTGTTATTTCAGGTGAAATTCTGAAACAAACTGTCCGCTGTCACTAACAAAAAGATAAGAGCTAAATCAAAACGAAAAGTTTACCAATTTGTTCCATTTATATATTTTACCAGTTTGAGGCAAACAAACAAGTTTTGTGTGTAAAACTTACGTACGCTGCCGTTTTCAATAAAAACAATTAAGTTTTCATGTAAAATAGTAAGAGTCTAACTTCAGATTACTGATTGAACTTTGTTCCTGGTACAAGCTATGTCAAGTGGTTATCAACTCTTTTCCAATAACATTTGGTATGCGTGTAAGGATTGGAGATATGTGTTGCGTTTTTTGTTGTTTTTTTTTCTGGTGAGTAACTTCTGGCGAATTGGGCTTCAGTCACTTTTTGCCACCTAGAAAAACATTTTGCTCTATACTTTTATTAAATATTTCATCTTATATATAGTTAATAACACATATAATATGCTATATCAAGTAGTAAATCGAATGATAGATATTGAGCTTGAAATTTCTTTTTAGTATCCTAAACAGCTTTCCTACAGAATAATTTAGAATAATAAATCAGTAAAATCAATGTTACTTGTTCTTCAAATATCGTATAAATAGAGGTTTAATGTTATGAATAAAAGACAACTAAAAACATCATACATATGATATATATACATCATCACATCATTGGTATATTCTTGTAAAAGTTTTTCAAGTTATCATCTTGAATTATATTCTGTGTTTTTGTGGTACTATTGGGGGAAAAGGTGAAATTTCGTATTATTGCATATGTTTTTCACAACGCTTTAATGGAAATAATTACGAATGAGTTTTTGAAAATACTTATATCTGGTTCATTGAATATTAATGTTTTGTTGTTTGATTTCGCGCAAAACTACACGAAGGTTACCTGAGCTAGCCGTCCCCAATGATGAAGTTATAGACAAGAGGGTTTGTTTGGTTGTATTGAATTTTGCGCAAAGCTACACGACGGCTATCTGCGCTAGCCGTCCCTGATTTAGCGATGTAAGACTAGAGGGAAGGCAGCTAGTCATCACCACCCACCACCAACTCTTGTGCTACTCTTTTACCAACGAATAGTGGGATTGACCGTCACATGATAACGCCCCCACGGCTGAAATGGCGAGCATGTTTGTTGGGACGGGTATTCGAACCCGCGACCCGCAGATTGCGAGTCAAGCGCCCTAACCACCTGGCCATGCCGGGCAGACAAGAGGGAAGGCAGTTAGTCACAACCACTAATCGCCAAAACTTGGGCAAATTCTAATATGTCATAAAATCAAATATATTCTTGATATAGCATGGCTAGCATCAACTTCAAAGTCATCCTATTTATTTAAAAAATTCTGTAACTACAAAATATTCTATATATATATTGAGTCTTTATCTGATATGTTAGTATTGGATAATGATATATTGTTTAAGCAAACGATCTTAAATAAAAATATTTATAACGAGTTCCATTTAACTGATAATCATAATAGAATAGTTGTGTTTGTACAAAGAGGAAAAATAAGCAAAGGATTTATTATATCACATACATGACTCAAAGCTCTAATTGTATTTAATATGCATGAACTATCTTATATTATGGGTGAGAAAACTAACTGAATATTACTTTTTGTACATGTGCACTTATGAGATTTATAGTCCAAAAAATTAATAATAATAATGAAAGAAACACGGTGAAAATGCATAAGAATATCTAAAATAGCTACGCAGTGTACACCTGAAACCTCTTGGTGTTTTAAGTTTCGGAACATTATAACAATTCAGTCTTTGATTATGTTATAAATGCATTCACTATAGAAGATATCATCGGGTATATAGTGCAAATATTTGATTTTAACGTATTCGGTTTCATGTCATGAATTATTGGGTTTCTTTAAAAGATATTTAGCAAACTGGTTTATAAGTTTATTTTAGAACGATTTTATTGAAGAATGAACCTTTAATCAGAACGCCCCCTAGTGGCACAGCGTTATGTCTGCGGACTTACAACCCTAGAAACCGGGTTTCGATACCCGTCGTGGGCAGAGCACAGACAGCTTTGTGCTTAACTTCAAACAAGCAAATTAATCAGAACAGTTTAATGCCATCGTCTTGTAAATGATAAATATCATCCCACATTCGTTGCATTTCTTCCTTACATGCCCCCCCCCCCACTGGAACAGCGGTATGTCTGCGGACTTACAACGCTAGAAACTGGGTTTCGATACCCGTGGTGTGCAGAGCACAGATAGCCTATCGTGTAGCTTTGTGCATAAATTCAAACAAACAAACAAACTTCCTCACATTATTAATGCATTCTTAAGGTTTTGTAAGTAAAAATAGATATTCAGAGTTTTCCTTCGGTATTCATGTAAAATTTCATGGAATTTAAATTTTCAATCTGAACAGCTATTTGTGTGCATGTGGCTAAATTTCCAAATTCAAAGACTCCTCAGATTCAGGTATAAATGACCAAAATTTTGAACACTAACCAGAGAGAGAAGGCAACTTAACCGCCGCCACATGGAATTTTTTCACTATCATTTTTATAAAGCACCCACAGCTGAAACCACGCTCAGTCGTATGTAAATTTTTATTTTCTTATTTTGTTTTAAAATAGGATGCTGTTACTTCTGCAATTAAACGACTAAAATCAAGCATGTACAGTGACACAAAGAATGTGGTAATCTCCTTAAATGCTGGTCTTACCAAAGCACTGACTGAGAAATATGCCTTTTTGTACACAAAATCTTCACTAGAAGCTGAATTACATCGTAACTGGAAAGATATCTTTGTGATTTCATCTGATTCTATTGCTGTCGATAAGGTGGGCATAGCTTTCCAGCGGAACTGGCCATACCAACAGGATTTCAACACAATGTACGTTATTTCGATTAGTTTTTTGTCAATATTTTAAACTATTTTTGTGGGATATTATTGTTTATCTGATGTATACTTATGTCAAATGTTGGGCCCTTAGCTAAGATAAATGTTCTGGAACAATCAAATATTTTCGTGCTTTATTGCGTTATTATTATAAGCTTGTCGTATCTAACGCAAATAGGGAAACAGAGACGTTGCATGAGAATTACAAGAATATAATAAAATACAGAGATTCGAAAAACGTATTATGAAGAAAGACAATGCCAATGTAGATTGAATTATCTACACCAAACGTGTCAAATTCAACTCACTTCTCGCCAGTATGATACTGAATACAAAGCTTCTACTGGTTTACTTCTCTCCACAGCATTCTTGTTATATTAATGCCTATAGACTCTCTTTAATTTCTTTGTTAACTAGATATTTATATTGAACTTTCATTTAAAAGTTAAAATGTTCAACAAAATTTTTAAAGCCCTCAACTTTCACAGTCAAGATCAAACATTAACTGAAATCTCTAAGTATCTTGCATAAATTATCTACTCATTCTTTGAAAATGTAACATGGTCCATAACATGTGTTATGCAAGGAATCAGTCCAATTACTATGAATATAGAGAGTGCTAGATGGGTAGATTAGTAGTATCAAATTGTTTGTGCAAACTGTCAAAATGAAACTGAGATACAAAATATCACAAGTGGCTGGATGTGAAGAAAATCGATACAAAGAAAACACCAATACCTGGCCTTACATGATATAAATAATATGATATGATAAAATTAAACAATATTACAAACTTGATAGCACTTCTAAGATACGTAATATTTAAAGGAAAGTACTGCCTTATAGTGATAAACGTTACTTCCTTTGGTACGTCTAGTGTGGTTACATGTGCAGTCGCCATCTATGACCAGTGGTCTTGGATAACAAATCATTCATCAATTTATCATCAGAACGTATGTTCGGCACCATTCTGCTTCAACCATCAGCAGTAGAATCTCAATAATAGGCTGTATATTTAGTACAGATATAAGAAAATATTCATAGAGGTTTGAATTAATGACCGAAATTGATTAGAAGTTAATATTAATTAATATGCTTAGAAACGGAAAAGTGGGTATTTAACTGTGGACAACTTTAACTGAGATGTGTGCTGCTGTCTGAGCACTGGACATGAAACTTTTTTATAAATGTTTATGCATATCAAGAGCTCTTAGAAAAGAACATTCTATTGGTGATGAGTGAGCTTGTTTGTTGTTGTTGGTGGTGGTGGTGTTCATTAGACTAACGTTCATACAGTTCTATCAAGATCGTACTTTTTTTCCACTAAAGCATTAAATTCATAATATTAACTTCCAATGGCCTGCCCAGAAAACATATTTTACTTCTATAAACCTTTTTTATTTAATTTAATTATTTAATCCCTAGTGATTGTATTATGTAATGAACTTGCTATATTATTGTTCTGTAGACTCCAAAGAATGGTCTATGGTGGTTTGATTGACAAGTGGAAGAGAGACGTTCTCCTCATTTTGAACAGAAACAACAGGAGCATCTCTGAACCAAAAAGACAGGACGCAAGAGCTTTAACACTTAATAATACACAAAGTGGGTTTTATGTTCTTCTCATCGGATACGGAATCTCATCGGGGATTTTAGTGATGGAACACATTGCAGTCAAAATGAAGAAGATATAAATATATATATACGTCTAGTATTTACCTTGATTTCTATACATCTTTACATGTACATCTTAACACGATGAATTATCCAGTTCTCAAATACTTCATTTAAATTTTACTAAGGTTTAAGTTAAGCCTTAATCATCAATTCTCCTCTTAAATGTGAACACAAAATATTCGCACGTGTAGTATTAGTATTATTGTAAGATATTAAAACGAGCATTAGGTGAAAAATGTCGCTTTTATAGTGTTAAATATTTATTTGTGATATGATTTTAAAATACGCATTTCTGTTGAGAAAACTATATAGCTTTCTTTTCATTAATCCAGTGAAGCACTTTTCGAGACGGAAAAAATGTTTAACTCTAGACTTTATTGTATAAGTAAAATGATTTGATCAAGTATTCTTGTTTTAGTAACTCATATATGTACGCATTATATTAACTATTTAAACAGATATGTAGGTCCAATTCCTAGGAAGATCAATCCCTACACCACTGTTACATTTCAGCCTCTACTTTTCGATCCTTTTGGAGTTTATTTATTCAGTTTTTACGTAATTATTCACCAAAACTTTGAATTTAGGACACAGAATTTCATTATTACAAACCCTAATTATATCTATTAATAATGCTTCATGCATTTAGGGCTTACACTGTTTGTTATTTGCACGATATACAGCCACCTAATGGCTCAGCAGTAAAGTTGAGGGCTTATAGCGTTAAAGATCGGGTTTCGATACCCGCGGTGAACAAAACATAGATAGCCCATTGTATAGCTTTGTGCACAACAAGAAACAAACCACACATATATGTACGCATTATATTAATGAATGTTGTATAAGAATGGCAATAAAATCCAATTATTCGATTAAAGTAGCTTAAGAACCAGCGGTGGATACTGTTGACTCATTACCTTCTTTCCAGCCTGCTAGTTCAGTAATATGGACGGCTAGTTTGTAGCTTTGCGCGAATATCCGAAAACAAAACATAGAAAACCGATATTCTTCAAGAGGAATCTGGCTACAACACTGATAAAAGATCTAATTACTTAAGGTGTTTCATCAAACAGAACAGTTTCGCGTATCACTTGGAGCTTATGATTGGAGAATTTTAGTTTTACTAATCGAAATGTATAGAATCTATAGTTTTAATACGCTAGTTAACATTTAGGTTTCCGTGGACAAAGAAATATAGACTTTTACACCAATCTAAGTATGTGTATTTAATCATATGTTTCTATAGTGTTTTGTAACTGTAAGGTAATGGCATTTTCTACTTTACCCTCAACACGCTTATATAAACATTTTGTAATTTTTTACTTCTGTCTTTATTAAGAAAAGTCAGATAAGAAGATGTCAACAAAAGCCCCAAGCCTTTACTCTAGTTTTCATGACATGACAGAACTATATAACTGCTGACAACTTGTCAATGATTTTCTGTAACACATAACCTTGAAAATTCTCTAAATCTAAGGGGTGCTATCTTTATGGAGTATTACTGAAATGGTCTAGCAGCAACTTGAAAATGATCAAATTAAAAACTCCAGCATTAGAGATACTGTTATATTGATGAAACATGAAGCAAGAACACCATCTTGGTAAACAGTAGCCTTCGGAAGTGTACAGATTAACTTTACCTCCCTCTGATAACATAATACCTCTGATCTTGATTAAATGTATCCAGTCACATCACCTTACAAGCTTTATTTTCTTTCACTAAGCCAAGTTATATCTTGTTCAACTGTTTCGTAAGCATCCAGCTTTCTAATTAATCTACTATATTATTTCACCAGAAGCTTTCAAAAAATCAAGGTACACATCATGAATAGTAACAGACATAACATATTTTACGGGGCTAATGAACTTCATGATGTTGTTTGTTTTATGTACAAAATGTTTATAAATTCAATGTATATTATTAAACACATTAAAATATATAAGGCCTTTAAAAGAAAGACTTTAGGTTGTGGTCTCCGTGCGCATCACTTTTAGATCAGTGCATCAACATGTTTTAAAAATGGTCCGTTTCAAAGTAGAGTGCATGGTACAGCAGCATCTCATCAAAAACAGCATGAAAACATACATCAGCCTCGTTTCGGCACCTCAAGGAGTTTATAGGGGTGTTTGCCAACAATGTCACCATGGTTTGCCAAGATGACAAACGCAAATTAAATGTTAGGGAGCCAGAACCCCTGTTGCTGCTGTCGATCGTGGAAAAATTGCAGCCAAGACATCTCCCGCGCATTCTTACAAGAATCCAGTTAACGAATGATATCCATTTTGAACTTGGATCTCCAAGTAGTTGGTGTGATACATATGAAATTAACCATGAATATGAGAAATGGATGTCGAAATGCAACAACATCAAGGAGATTCCAAAGGCTGCAGAAATGAATTCTGTCTTTCAAGAGAATGTTTTGAACAGCATCAAGCAGCCAATTGAATTAATTGGTGGATTGTCTGGAAAACTTCAAGACCAATGAAAATTTTGTGTCGTCTCTCCAAAAGCACAAAAAGAATCACCATGGTATTCCGTTTGCTCCATCACGCCTCACAGCATCACACACGAAGAACAGTCACCTGCCAAGAGTTCTCTCTGTTACCATGGAACTGAAGCAACAGGAATCGACTCAAGTGATTTAGTAAATCATCTTTCCACACATAAATATTCACATGTTTATTACAAAATAATTCAAATACAGTTTATATTTGTTATATAAATATGTAAATACTTCAATATGTTATACTAACTTTGAAATCTTAAAACTAGTAGCACATAATATTATATTTTACAATATCCATGCATATATTGTGTTTAATATTAAACACAGGTTGATTATATCTGTGGAGCTGACATCAGAGCATTCATTGAAGATAAAAAGAAAATCTTGATAAAGGTTCATGTCCGTCAAGACCTTTAGTACCACCAGCCTATAGAAGTACCCTGCTATGCATCAACATTGTTCCCCTTGGTATGCTGCTATTGAACTGAGAGGGACAACCTGGTCACAGGAGAGCATGCAAGGGGGATGCATCCTATCTGCAAGACCTGTTGAGAAACAAAGCATCATATTCTAAAAGAAAGAGAAAACTTGTCAATGTTAGACATATTATTTGAGTCATTTTATATTTACATTGACTCCTGTTTTTTAGTTGTTGATTTTTTGTGATGCCTACATGCTGCAGTTATATTATTTATACAATACTGTAGTATTTGGTACATTGTTATACTAGTCAGTTTTCCCCGTGTTTATTTCTCTCGGATGATTCTGTATTTTGCCAGGCTAGGAGAGTGTGAATATTTTGTTTGAGAGATACTGACCAACGATGTTTCTATTTTGCCTGATAGTTTATTTTATCATGTCTGCCTGCTACTCAGTAATCAGGGGTTATTATTGCTTATGCCATATTCCAAAATGGTATATTTTATTATTAGTCTGTATTGATGTTTGTTTCTGACAGTATGTATTTATTTAATGCCGTCCAATTTACCAGTAAAAAGTTGCTATATTTTTTTAGTGAATGTAATTTTGGAGAGGGAGATAGAACTTAATAAAAGATTTGATACTGAATCGAGAATGATATTTGGTTGATAATAAGCGAAAGCTATTGTTTAGAGATCTTACCTTGGTCGTTATTTTAATCAATTCTCATTACTAATTATCAGCATTGCAATCATGGTTTATTTTTAATTACTAGGTGTGCGGTAAGTTTCCGGACTTATAACGCTAAGATTCGAAGTTCTATCCCAGCAATAGACAGGGCGCAAATATCCCATTGTGTAGCTTTGTGCTACAAATCTAACAACTACTACTTGTTGTTCCCTCCAGAGATTTACAGATTTTTTTGTTTCTTCGCATATATCTCTGAAAACTCCAGTAAAAGCACCATCCTTTATAAACACACTCATTCTTATTGTTTTACTGAATAAATAAAGATTGTTTTCAATGCATTTTATATTGTTCTGAGTCTTCTTTTTTTTTTCACAACTCAATCAAAGTCAAAGAACTCATGTTCACTTTCACAAAATATTTCCTACTCAAACTTCCTACTAATCAGCAGATCCTACCCGATTGCTCTAAAAGGAAATGCTTGTACCTAGGAATACCAAACACCTTGTGACAACCCTCTTCAAATTTAACAGAACTTATGGAATTTTTCAATAATCATTAAATAATTTTGTAGTTAAATACCTGTCGTTAAACTAATTCTATAGTCCACCTGTAATTACATTGCGAATTATTTATTAATTAATATTCACTTTTCTAATATCGATTGTTTCTGTTCACAGAATGTCCTTTGACAGCACAGTGGCAAGCTTGAGGGTTTACAACATTAGAGGTTTTATCCTAGCGGTGAGCTTATTCTGCAGATTTCTACTTCTAACAAATAAGCATCTTCATGGAACATACCCTGCCCTTAAGATATATAACATATTTTCCTTCCAAATATATAAAGTAACCTAGCAGTCATTGGGATTACAGGCGTTTAAGTGTTTAAATAGAAAATAAACGTATTTCTTTGTGATAATGGTTAGCACGTATACAATTTAGAAATTAGCAGCAATCATTCATCATTCCTATAACCCTTCTCTAATAAGCTTAAATATTACAAACAAAACAATATTTAAGCTAAAATATGTATTGTAAAAATAAATAAATAAAATAGTGTTAATAATGTTTTACATTTCACTTTAAAGATGGCGCTTTATTCGTTGATTTGGTTTTTGTTATGGTTTCGGTTTTTATATAATATTATATAAAATAATACGCAACTTGACATTAAAGCAAAATTTTGTTCGAGAAAGGAGAAAGAAATTTTAAGAAGAAACACAAGTATATCTTGTTGGCATTATAAAAGGTAAATATTTGTTTTCTACTTCTGTTTGAAGTCTGGGTCTGATTTTCGTTAGACTGAACGCACTAGTTAAAACTGTACTGTGTTATGATTAATAATAATTAGTGTAGACTGAATATAAATATCAATTATCATTATTGGTTAGAGTCAGTTTTATTGCAGTATAGAAAAAGTCGTTTTTTTGTGTCTTGGATACGAATTTATACTTCAATGTAAATGTACCTATGAATATGTGTATAACACTGGCCATGCGCTCTATTAGACGGTACATTCATTGGTAAATTTGGCGTTATGTATTTTTCTACCGACTTTCTTGTTCAATTAATCCCTGTTTCTTTACGGTAACATTAAACTGGGTATCAATTTCGTTCAGTATAATATTCATTTAAACTCAGACTTTCAGGGGTTTTCCGAGTTCCTCTACCGACGTTAATTGAAATCGGTTAAGCCAATTACTCCTCACAACAACTTATGATGACACCAAACACAGTCTGGCAAATCCGCTTTACATGTATCGATATTTTTATAAGGAATTTTCTTAACATTTTTCTTTACCTTGCTAATATTCTTGTCACTGTTTTTAATTAATTTCGGCAATATCTTCCAATAATGAACCACGTTTTCGAAAAATTTCCAATGGGATTTAATTTATTAAAAGTACTTTCAAAACTTACTTAAACTCCACTTATTGTTACACAATTCCATTCCCGTAAACTCCAGTGATTACTTTGGCTTTTCACTAGTATCTATAAGAAGGAAACTGAAAACAGGTCGTATCACTTGTTATTATTGTTTTTGTTTGTTTGTATCCTTAAAATATGTATGAAAATTATAAATTCAACTTTATAGGTTTTCTTTTCTGTTACAAAGATAGACTTACTAAATCTAATATTATTTTACAGTCTATCCCTTTCTCTACGCTGTTCACCTGGTATTGACAACCTTTTAGTGGTGTAAACTAATATCTGAAGACCCATTTTAATGTATTATATGCACATTTACTAACATTACTTGAAATGCTATGGTAGTTTTAGTGTGTCAAGATTTTGTGCAGTGAAATACTGATTGTAGAATGTTCCATGAAAAATAAATTCTATACATTTAGCGGTTAAAACCTAACTTAATATTACTTGATTAACTTCAGATATGGAGTGAAGTCTGATGGTATTGTTACCTATTGAGAATTTGAAATAATCTAAAGCCGCGTTAAATAATTTAACTTTTAATAGTTAAACTGTACCCTGGAATTACTGTTTAGAAATATGCCGATATTTTATTTAATTTGCGCTATTTGCCAACAAGATTGATTCACACCGTTTTTCTTTTGACACAAATACATTTAATATATATATATATATAACAGTATAATTTACAATGGCAGCTATTACGATTAGTTATTACAAACAAAGTTTCATAAATAGAAATTTCACTAACTTATAAATAACCAAAAATCGTCTTCCTAGTTCAGATTCTCCTTGATATCCAGCGAGTTTACTTGAAGTCGATATACGTAGAATTATCGGAAAGCTAGCTAGCTTTGTCAAGCACTTAATTGTTAGACCGTCGAAGCAAGATAATATTTTCATGAAACCACTAGCGTCCGATAAAAAACCAGCAATATTTTTGGAAAGATACTAACGTTTGATGAGAATTCACTGACGTTCGAAATTTATAGCTGTTCCTGGCCAAATGTCGTGTATTTTTTCGTTATAACAGTTTCCTAACAGACTTAATTCTTCTCTGTTCTCTGTTGTTTTTTGGCGCTTTGACCTGCTGTTTTTATAGAAACATTTCCTAGAAACTTCTGATAATACCGGTTACGAAAGTGGATATATTGTTGATTCTTGTGTTCACGAATATTCTACAATCTTGAAGAATTGTCAGGAGTTTTGCCATACGTAACTTACACAGTAAGCTAGACACGCCTTCAAATATAAACTTATTCGAAACAAACGTTGACATTAAAATAAATATATAACAAATTCGTTATACGCAACACATATCTGATACTACAAGTCACGCACATTTCTAAATACCAATTCAATCCAAATAACGTCCATATTAAAAATAAATACGTAATAATAAATTCGTTACAGTATAGATTCATTAGGTGTGAAATTCATTTCATGTATCAGAATTGTCAACCTGTTGAAATACTTGTTGCTTTGTTCAATTTCGTATAAAGCTACTCAAGTGCTATCTGCGCTAGTAGTCCATAATTTTGAAATGATAGATTAGATGGAAGGCAGTTAGTCAACACCACCCAATGCCAACTCTTCACTACTGTTTACCAACGAACAGTAGATTGATCTTCACATTATAACGCCCCCCCGCCTGAATGGGCGAGCATGTTTGGTGGTAGACTTAGAGTGCCTTAACCACTTGGCTAATTCAAGGCGTATTGGTCACATATTATTTTGAGCTTTTATATATAATAAACTTGTTTTGTGTCATTTCACAAAAACATAAACTTCTATAAACACTATTACATTTGATTTAATTTATTTGTAGCATTATAGTAGAAGACATTCTGAATGTATTCTTATTTAATATATCTTACACAATGGATTTTTAAAAAGAAATCAAAATTATTTTCTTACTTAAAGTTAACTCTTCTCTTATACTTATGAAACTGTTCTTGCAATGGTTTCTATTGTTGGTCGTGTTGAATTATTTTGTAAAAGAATAATAATGGAAAGTTCAGACTATCAAAGACTAAAAAAAAGTTTATTTTATCATCTTAATGTAAAGAACGTTCACTGATAGACCTAACTTCGCAAATAAACTACTTTTATTAGAAATTCCTCTTGTTTGTTAATTAACTCGATATCCACAGGCACTGAACTAACTAATTGGCTGACAGTGACAGACAAACTGTCTAAATAATACATTGATTATTTATCAACTGACTAACAAATTCCCTAAAACTCTAGCTTAATTCGTTTTTTAAATAAAAGCCTCAAATTGTCTTCTAAACTTTGGAGAAATTATTATAAATTTTGACCTGGTCGTCAGGTTACTCTAAACCTCCACCCAGCTAAACAACAATACAAACTTCTCTAACTGCTTTAATGTAAATCATACTCTAGGATGATATTGAACTCTTTCTTTTTTTACAATAATATATGTCTTTAGCAGTTCAACTCGGTAATTTTTAAATAATAATCTAATTACATTAATTGTTATTTTTATCAATAGATGGATAATCTAACTGTTAGACTTCGTCAACTGGAATGTCATTTCAAGTGGAAGCTGAATGACCTTGTTGGCAACATGACTGTCATAAACATAAATGAAAAATTGACAGTATGGATGAAAACAGCCAAGTCTGATATTCAAGAACTAAGCCTTCTTCTTCTTGGATACATTTATATGACTGGTCTGAATGACGGTGTGTATGAGGTAAATTTAGCAAAAGCAGAAGCATATTTATCAGAAGTAAAAACTATTGTATCTCAGAACATTATTGAAAGAATGCCTTTTTATTTGTTTATTGCGCTGGAAGCCCACAGATATCACGTACTAGGTCAATTACAAAATTGTGAAAGTAGAGTGAAAGAGGCAGAAGCTTTATGGGAAGAAATTAAGGACGATCCGGAACAGATGGCTTGTTTACTTGGAGCCCGCGGGTTTTCTCTAGTCCAATATGGATTGCAAAATTATGAAGAAGCTGTACGTTCATTTGATAAAGCTCTAAAATTAAACCCAAAAGAACCCTTATGGCATCACCTAAAGGGATTGTGTTTAGCAAGATTACGCCGTTATAACAAAAGTGAATACCCTACTAAAGAAGAAATGGAAAGTCTTAAAAAAGCCATTAGCCTATCAAAAGAAGATAATGTGGATTACATCAGCACTTATGCTTTATCGCTCTCAAGCGTATGGTCCAGCAATAAAAAAGACAAATTGTTGAAAGATGAAATACTTAGATATCTCGATAAAATGAAAGTATGTAGAAAGAACAATGCGTACATCCTACTAAACTGCGCCAAAATATATCGTTACTTGCATAATAATGTTGAACAAAAAAACTGTTTACTTGCAGCTAATCGCATTACTGAAGAAAAAAATGGGCACGTACTTCATCAATTAGGCCTTTATTTTTGGAAATCGGAAAAGGACTTTGAAAAGGCAAAAGAATATATGAAAAAAAGTGGAATATTTTACGCATTAGTAGATTATTTAGTATTGAAAAAGACAAACCATGAGATTAATTCTGAAGAGTACCTCAGTGAACTAAGTAAGTTGGAGAAACAGGGAACTTTCACCAAGGTAGAACAAGCACTGATGCTAATGTGGAAAGAAAAAGAACTGGAAAAGCAAGGTAAGGAAAAGGAGTTAAGTAGAGTTCGAGAAGCAAACAACAGACTTCAGAAAATGAAAGTTCAAGATGTCGCACAAGAATAGTCAACTATTCGATAGCACTCGAGTTTAGGGCCTTTTTTAAAAAATCATTGCATCTTTTGTATGTGGTCCTAACTCTTTTATCAGCTTCTGAAATCCAAAAAGTGATACTGCACCTTAATTCGATGCTAATGAGACAAAAGCCTTAACATTTTTCCTTCGACTGTCCAATGTATAGGATGTTTATTCGGTTATAAAATGAAAATAAACCTAGAATAAAGTGCTGTATTTTCACGTTTAAAAAAATAACTTTTACAAATTGCTTCCAGTACATGTAAAATTTAAATTTTGGAAATTGACAAAAACTGTCCAAACACATTTCTAAAGAGGAGGGGGAAATCCAGAAATATTAGGATTTTGACACTAAAGACGTGTAAGGGTGTTGTTATTTATCGATCGAAGAGAAAACTGACCCATTTGATGAAAGTGCCAAAAGATTTGGGAGATATCAATACTTCTTTTAATGGAGGTAAACAAACAAGAATAAGGATAAAAAAGGGTTGAAGTAAGAGAAAATTTGACAAGGCAGAAATTAACACTTGAAGATAAAGTGAAAGAGATCAATCCAACAGCACATTATGTACACCAGAGAAGTTAGAAACAAGCAACATCAAACCTCTGTTTGTTACTGTTTATTCTTGAATTTTGTACTTTATTATCATATAACTTTTGTACTGTTCACATTTAGAATATTTCTTTTGAAGAAAAACTGTCAAAAAAACAATACAAATAATCAGTAAAATCAACCTTGTATTCTGATTGATAAAAGGCACAATTGTAAATCATAATGATCCATGAAACCTTCGTTTTGCCTAAAGTATGTAATATAAAACTAGTTTAATATAATTTCTTGTTATCGCATAATGTACTTCAAAATAAGTAAATAAAGATAAGGTTTAGAGTGAGTGTGATATTTATCCGTGTCGTTGGCGACGAAAGATGTATTTCCGAACTTGTTTCTAGACATTTACAATACTCGAAGTTAATATGATTTGTTTGTTTATAGTTAAGCACAATACTATTTGATGGACTGTCTTTGCTTAGTCCACCATGAGTATTGAAACCCGGTTTCTAGCAGTATATGTTTGCAAACATACTGCTGTGGGGCTTAATATTAAATCAATGTTACCTGACATTTTCCAACGACGCGAATGGTGTTTATTTTTAGTTTTTGTTTGATTGATCTATGGTGAAATGGTTTCGGTTATAGTATCGTATATAGACATGTGTCAGTGCATGCTAGGTACGAATATACATGTAATATTCGCTTTTTTAACATACAGTGAAAAGAAAAATCATTCATAAGAGCATACTTTTAAATAATGCGTAAGTGAATGTTTTCCCTTATCTACAGTCCCCCAGTGGCACAGCGGTATGCCTGCAGACTTACAACGTAGTGGGCAGAGCACAGATAGCTTACTGTGTAGCTTTGTGTTTAATTACAAACAAACAGTTGAGAACTTGGAGACTTTTCGGTTTACCACAAATGAAAATAACTAATTTTTCAGCAGAACAGTAAGGTATATTTTACGTTTTTAATTTTGCTGTTGTTGAAGTTATCATTTTCGGAATTACAATGCACGTTAATTCTCAACAAAAATTGTATTAATTCTCACTAGATGAAGGTACTCAAAATCTATCGTCTTGTTTGTTAACTTTCGCCCAAAACTGGTCGAGGGTGACCTGCACTAACCGTCTTTAATTTTGATGTTCTATTAATAAGAAGGAAGCTAGTAAACACTACTCAGTATTAATTCGAAGACTTCCCTAATTGAAATTTGACTGCCGCTCTTATAAAGCATCCATAGCCCAAAGTACTGAACGCCTTTTTTGGTTTGGGGAGGGGACGAGGTGCAAACCTTAGATCAACAGTCTGCCACACGAACCATTGAGCCGCGCTTCGCTCTATATCTATCATAAGCTAAGAATTTATTACCTAGTTCGTTTTCCATGACACAGTTTTCAAGTATTATTAGAAGTTTTAATGTATTTAGAACGAACAACATTTTCTATAACTTAATATTGATTTAATTAGCATTTTTTGCTATACATCTCACATGCATATAATTGACAAAAATAAAAAGATCAAATTTCTTTTCACATTTTAATTTAACAATAGTGCCAAAGGTTAATAGATGGTAATATTCTGTCACTAAAAGTTAGCTATCTTACATACCCAAAATTTGTTGGATATAACTTTAAGATCTGGTTACCAAGAGCCAGCACAAGTATTAGTTCAACCAAATTCATCCTTCCTGTATTTTGTTTTGCAGTTTATCCTCAAACTTTAATTTGTGTCCTTTCAATTTAGTAACGTACTGAACATTGGTTTTATTTAATATCCATACTGGTGTCTGGTTCCTTTCGTGAGCACAGCGCAGATAATCCATGGTGCAGATTTTGTGCCTAACAACAAAGTTTAGATGTGTTTTACATTAGTTTAATACTACAGTTTTGTTTCTAACTTAAGTCTCATGTTATAGTATTCAAATTTTTATTTATTCTTTTCTGTCATATTCGCTGTGCATTAACGGGTTAATAAACATTACATATTTGTTTGATATTGCATAAAAAAATAGTAATCACAATACTTTATACAAATTCTTGTTTAAATATGTTCTGAGATTTAATTCAGTTATAATGATCAATGTTTATTTTGGCTGATTATATTTTCGTCGGAAGTTATTTTATCTTATAGCTTGAAGTCAGTACGTCTCCAATGTTACTTTGTTGTTTAGAACCATAAGTTCTCTGTTATCGTTAATCATCATTGTGAAGAATAAAAATGATATTGTTTTAGGGGATTTTTCGAAATATCTCAAAAATATGATAGGCAGAACTTTTTATTTTCAAAACTGCAAGTGGTAAATGTTATATATATTATCTAAAAATTACTGACATTACAAATACGAATTTTAATATTTCTTGGATGAGATACTTAATACTTCTCTAATCAGATACTACAGCATTCTGTAATATCTTAAATTTCGAAAGCTGTTCTACGAAGACTAAAAATTATATCAAGTCTGAAGCTAACTTTAATCTGGTCTTTTGTGTCAAGCATCGATTTCATGAAATAATTATCGCAAGTTAATTAAATACTGTACAATATATTGCCACAAGGATTGAGACAATACAACCGCTGCAAATAATATCTCCTTCCACACTGAGCTTAAAAGTGAAACATTGGGATAATGTTGATGTCTGTTGAAGGCACGATGCGCTGAAGAAAGAACTCATATCACTAACGAATAATAAATGGTTATTCGATTCTTTCACATATCTACTGGAGAAATGGGAGCTGATAGAGTTGAACATCGGACTTATGACCAAAACTTAACCACTTCAAGGTCCATACGGGTTTTTAAATGGGTAGTGTTATAAATGTGTGTAGTATTTTATTGTGGTTTGACACAGCATTCACATTCCAATTAATTTTTTTATAATGTACATAACGTATTAAATATATATTGCGAAATTCCCGCCTAATCTTTAAAGTTGTAGAAGATTCTCGAGTATAAGAATCAACAATATATGTGTGTACCTAAACGCTAGTGTAGCTTTGTATTGTTACGTAATATGAATTTTCGAGTGACTCTCCACACGCCTATAAATATAACCAATGCGCCGCGTCTAAAAAGAGTATCTATTATTGAGTTTGTGTGCTATAAACGTTGAAAGCTATAACTGTTATTGTTATAACGCTTATTAATCGGAAACTTAAGATATTTGACCAGGAACGTTTATAAATTTCGAACATTACAAACCAGTTAACTTCAGTGGATTCACATGGGACATTAGTACTTTTACGAAAACATTACCTAACGTCATCGGTGGAAAAAGTCGGCGAAGAATACAGAGCTAGCTAGCTCCCTATTAAGTGAATTGTATCTACGTGAACTAGAAATTAACTCACTCATCGTGAACTCTCGATAATACATCAAGGAAGTTGGAGACTGGAAAGAAGACTTTGTATTACTTGTAAGTTTGTGGAACTTTTGTATATAAATCACTTTTAGTAGTAGCTGTTTGTAATAACTGTTATTGTAAATTATATTATTGTTTGTATATTAAAACATATTTGTATAAAACAAAGACAACTGTGTATCAATCTTGTTGGCAAATATCATAAATTGGATATGTATATATCGGCATTTATTTAACTACTAAATCTAAATTACAACTCAGTTTTAGGCTATTATAAATTGTAATACGTAACAGGGGTGAAAATCAAACCCTGAAATTCACTAAAGTTCAACGTACTTTGCATGAGATGTAGAAGTCTTTTTTACAGATATGTAGCAATGCTTGGTGACATATCTTAGTAAAAGAGTCTGCTTCTTCTTTACCGCCGAACTTATAATTGGAATTTTCTCTGTGTTGAGGGTGGTTAATGAATAACCGAAAGTCTGCATGCATTATTATCAACACTGTGGAGAAGAAAACGGAATGGTGTAAATTATTATAGTCTTGTATGATTTTGGTGTTTATAAGAAAGTGTTTTAATCTAGAAATGTTTTAATTGTACGTGTATTTATGTAAATTTATTTAATGAGTGTGCTAATAAAGTCGTGGTGATATTATAGCTACTTACATATCTGGTGTTATCGTGTATACTGTCTCATTGATCATTATTTTCATTTTCATACTATGTTTTCCCAACAATGCCCAATTAGTTCAAATTATTCGCTAAAAGGTGTAATGATGTTATGTTAAAAATTGAGAACTGTTCATAGGCTCTATTAAAACTACAAAAAACCAGGTTGCATGTTACTCTTTTAAAATACTGTATACAGTATAATTTAGCTCCTAAGTTTTTAAACTTTAAATTACCTATCTTTAATTTAAGATCAAGATATCCACAAAATAAGTTTTAAGATTATAATTAAAATATCAACTGATAGTACAAAGTCAAAATGTGTAAATGTGATGAGAAATTTAAAGAAGTTATTTCAAGTTTGGATTTCATACGTCTGTATCATGTTAAGAAGTTTCGGTTTAAGAAGCTTCTGAATGAAATAAGATTAAAGCAGAAAATTATACACGTTAAAACGTGTAAAGTTTACGTGTTTAGAAGATCCTCTGCAGTTTATTTACAATCCCTCGGGTTATCAGTAAACAGATGTAGAAAAAAATGTACTATCACGAGGTTTCAGATTTTCAGTTACTCCTAAGAAGTTAGATTATATAGAATTCTTCGTAAATTTTGAATAGTTATCACAGAAGTTTAAATTCGTACCCACTCAAAGCCAATATAATGTTACTTTTCTTAGGCTTAGCTTTTTAAAATTTTCATAGTTTTCACACTGAGAAGTTGCAAAAAACTTATCTAAAGATTAATTTTTGGCTATAAGACATCTCAGTTCAAGAGATAATTTAGTAATTCTTAAACTTGATAAAGACAATGGCGTAGTAAGTTTGAGTAAGAAAAAACACACAGAAAAAGCTTTAACTAATCTGAATTATAGTATTAAATTTTATGAACTATCTAAAGTACACAAAATAAAATTACCTATAATACCGATTGTATCATGGATAAGTAATTTTGTCATAAACTAGCAGGTTTTTAGCTTTATGTAACAAATGAGTTTAAAGCAACAAATAGTTCTGAGTTTTCCAAAGTTGTTTCTAAATCAGTTTTTAACGAATCGGAATATATTAAGAGTTTGAATATCAAGCCATTATATACAAATATACTGTTATAAGAAGTAATGAATTATGTAGTTATGAAATTTCCAGACTTTACATGTTACTATGGCATAACGAAACCAGTTTTTATTAAGCAAATGGAATTTGATTCTGAATAATCTAATTTATGTTTTAACGGCCGACTTTATGAACAAATAAGAATTTCGTCGGATAAAGGGTCGCATTTTATTTAACTAATCTGTTTATAAGTTATTTTCAGAAA